AAGCAAATTTGTTACATTTTGTGGTTCCTTCCCAACCCCTTGGCTCCAGTTCCATCTCCCTGTGTGGTTTATGCTCCCGCTGACATTTTGAGTAGTTTTTAATGGGCTCCATCGAACCCAACAAACTTGTCGACTTTCCTCGCCGCGGGCGTTCCGGCCATGTCCTTTCTTCTGGCCAGCTGGTGCACACATGTGTGTGGCTTGGGTTAGATTTTCCCTCTTTCGTCCCTTTGGTTTTCCTTTGCAACAGCTCATAAAATATTCGAGCTTTAACCACAACAAACTTTGGCCTATTCTCGGTACAATTTTTGTGGTCCTCGCTGGAGGTCCTTCTGTTTCCGTGGAAGAACACGTCCTGGAACATTCATTAACCCATTTATGGGCACTGCAGGCAACTCTCCTTGGCTTATAATGGCTCTAACTTTGCATTATGCCTGGAAACCCTTTCAAGTCATTGGCCACTAACTGGGATTTGCAATCCTCCCCCTAATATCCTTTATTTTTCGTTCGGAAAGGTAGGGAAATGCAATTTTCCACACGACTGGCGGGTTATGAAGATGCCAAATAGCAAAAATTCATCCTTCCTCGGTCTCAGTCCTTTTCAATAAGCTGCAATTGAGTTGGGGAACAATGTAAAATTTGCATAAACTCCTAGCACATATTGACTTTAAGCTGGATTGTGGATCGCTGGGATTATGTCACGGCTTAATTCAATTAGGACAGATTACGTATACGCCACGTGGCCGGGCCGTCCCGGTCCTAAGTGAAGGCCAAAAGGTCAATGCTACGTCTAAATTTAAGACGCTCCAAGTCAACTACCTTTGAGCTGGGAGCCATCGAAGCAATCCGCAAACAAATCCTTGATTTATGCGCACATCCTTGGGCAGCCGAAGCCAAAGCCAAAGCCAAACATTTATTTCCTTATCCACTTGTGCCAATGTGATTTCGACCCCATCCTTGGGCCGGCAGCTTTCAACTTTGGACTCTGGTCAGCAATCAAGACGGGCAATAGAATACGGTACAGTGAACACTAGCCAAAAGGGATTAAAAGTTTTTAAAATAATTTACAAAAGTATCATTTGACTTTAAGATGGCTCTTATCTTAGTTTCTTTTGTGTTAAGTATTTTTAATAATTTATAAACACCTTCCTTTCATAGTTTAACACACACTTCCTAGTCTGCAAAGGATTCAACTTATTAAGGACCTGCTGCACCTGTTCCTTTGGCAACTCTCGGTTCGTGCACTGCCTTGATGATGATTTACTGTTGTGTTGCTGAAAGGATTTACCCGTGTACTCGAGCGTGTCTCAACAAACATTGTGTGTGTGCATCCTGCACATCCTGAATCCTGAATCCTGCTCATCCAGCTTGATACATAACCTTGAATGCGGTTTTGATGTTTGTCTTGCATTCGAGTCTGGCTCTCTCCTTAACCAACTCGACTTTTCCGTTTGATTATTTGTACAAATGGCCGGGGCATCCTTCGTCCTTTTCATGGTCCATGGCCACTACCACTACCACTGCCATGGCCATTGCCATTGCCATGCGAAAAGCGGATTGCATTCGTGTTCATAAATTGTGGAAGCAGCAATGACTGCAATGGCAGCCAAGGAATGTTGCTAAAAAATTGCTGATAAATGATCTTTGCTGCCGCGCGTAGATATTTTCATATTTTCCAACCAGAAGCAGCCAGGAAAAGTCCTTGGTCCTTGGCTAAGGGCAAATCAAGTTCACTGCTACAGCTGCAGCTGCATTGGCTCTTCCTGATGCCGCTCCTGCTCCTGCTGCTGTCTGCTCGCTTTGCTAATTCCACATAAACACAGCCAAATGGCAAACGTCTGGGCTTTGGGGCAGGTTCTCTTGAGTAGAGTTGAGAACTTGGCTGGTTTATATATTTGACTTCATTTTGTTAAATAATTTGTGTTATAGTTATACCCTTGCAGAGGGTATTCAAATTTTGGTCAGAAGTGTGAAACACATCTCCTGTGTGGGAGACCCTTCGAAATGGACAAAAAAACTATAAAATGTTTTGTCTCAAGATTTTGAATCGATCCAAAAATCGTTTAAGGTACTCCGCTTGAGAATCGGATGAAAATTGGGGAAGATATAGCCATCACTGTGGGCTATATAGGGGAAAACCCCATTTTCAAGGGATCCCATCCCGAAAAATGTACAAAAATCTAAAAAATATTTTGTCTCAGGATTTTGATGCAGAATGGTGGAAAATTGATCTAGAAATCGTTTAAGGTACTCCGCTTTAGAATCGGAAGAGAATTGGGCAAGATATAGCTATCACGGTGGGCCATATAGGGGAAATCCCCATTTTCAAGGCATCCCAACACGAAAAACGGACAAAAAATCTAAAAAATATTTTGTCTCAGGATTTTGATGCAGAATGGTGGAAAATTGATCTAGAAATCGTTTAAGGTACTCCGCTTGAGAATCGGATGAGAATTGGGCAAGATATAGCCATCACGGTGGGCCATATAGGGGAAATCCCCATTTTCAAGGCATTCCAACACGAAAAACGGACAAAAAATCTAAAAAATATTTTGTCTCAGGATTTTGATGCAGAATGATGGAGAATCGATCTAGAAATCGTTTAAGGTACTCCGCTTGAGAATCGGATGAAAATTGGGCAAGATATAGCCATTACGGTGGGCCATATAGGGGAAATCCCCATTTTCAAGGCATCCCATCACGAAAAATGGACAAAAAATCTAAAAAATATTTTGTCTCAGGATTTTGATGCAGAATGGTGGAGAATTGATCGAGAAATCGTTTAAGGTACTCCGCTTGAGGATCGGATGAGAATTGGGCAAGATATAGCCATCACGGTGGGCCATATAGGGGAAAACCCCATTTTCAAGGCATCCCATCACGAAAAATGGACAAAAAATCTAAAAAATATTTTGTCTCAGGATTTTGATGCAGAATAATGGAGAATCGATCTAGAAATCGTTTAAGGTACTCCGCTTGAGAATCGGATGAAAATTGGGCAAGATATAGCCATTACGGTGGGCCATATAGGGGAAATCCCCATTTTCAAGGCATCCCATCACGAAAAATGGACAAAAAATCTAAAAAATATTTTGTCTCAGGATTTTGATGCAGAATGATGGAGAATCGATGTAGAAATCGTTTAAGGTACTCCGCTTGAGAATCGGATGAGAATTGGGCAAGAAATAGCCATCACGGTGGGCCATATAGGGGAAATCCCCATTTTCAAGGCATTCCATCACCAAAAATGGACAAAAAATCTAAAAAATATTTTGTCTCAGGATTTTGATGCAGAATGATGGAGAATCGATGTAGAAATCGTTTAAGGTACTCCGCTTGAGAATCGGATGAGAATTGGGCAAGAAATAGCCATCACGGCGGGCCATATAGGGGAAATCCCCATTTTCAAGGCATTCCATCACCAAAAATGGACAAAAAATCTAAAAAATATTTTGTCTTAGGATTTTGATGCAGAATGATGGAGAATCGATCTAGAAATCGTTTAAGGTACTCCGCTTGAGAATCGGATGAGAATTGGAGAAGATATAGCCATCACTCTGGGCTCATTTTTAAGGGAACCCTTCGGTAAAAGTGGACAAAATGATTTAGTTAATAAAAGCCTTGTTTATAGACCTTGTACTCCAACTACTTTAGTATAGCATACTTTCTAGGGACAACACATATGTCCGTTTCGCGTCAATCTCGCAGAGCTGTCAGTGGCTCTGCGGCCTTCTTAGATGTTGTCTTATTAATGACCCCGCATAATTACCCCAACCACCCACTGTCTCTGGCTTTCGTGACCCCCAAAAAACCGGCGGCTAAAGAAAAGGAAAAACTAATTTTCTGGTGCTGATTTCGAATTAACTCAATGAATAAATGAAGGAATCAGAGTGAGAGGCATCCTCAAGGGGCATCTTACTTAAAGTTTGGCTTAAATCCCGAGAATTTAAATGTACTTGGTCACATAAAATTATACCATTTGTGGTTTTAATGCAAAGCAGATCACTCGCGGCCTTTAAAAAGTTCAGTAGGAGGTTTCAATTAATTTATAATGTTTTTTATGTAAATGTATACCATTATATGACCCTGTTCGGAGCACCTGCTACCTAAGCTAATCCCGATTGCTGGACCATGAATCTGAATTGCTTTGCCCCAAAATTCCTATGAATTTTCATCATTCATTTAATGTCGCTGTCGCTGGCTGTGAGGTCCATAAAAATTTGATTGAAATGATTGGGGGCCAAGTCGTCGCCATGTCACAAAAACACAGATAAAAGCTTTTACCTTGTGGCCTGGTTGTGTGTATGTGAGGGCTTCCTCTTTATATTTATTTTATTCCACTTTTTTTCTCTTTGGTCTTTTTGTGTGTAAGGCGCTTTTAATTAAAATCGAGTTTATGTGACGTCCTCGTTGAGCCAAATTACTTGGCAACGTTTTCTGCCTAAGACCCTCCTAGGCCCAGATCCCTTCAGACTGCTGCCTCAGTTGCTATTATTTAATTTTTATGCCCGAGCGCTTTTGGCGACGTAATTTGAGACTTGACAATTTGCCAACCAAATACACTGGAAGATCTAATTTCAGAAAGATTTAAAGATATTTAAATATATTTCAAGAGAGAGATTCAGTTAGGGACTAGGTCCCTTTGTTTCTTCCAGTTTCTTTCTGTTTATTGTCCTTCAAGTCACCCTAGTAACCAACTTAAATACTTCCTGACTTTCTATTTACGTATCAAGATCTCTTGTAGTGAAAATCAGGCTATTTCTAGTTAGTTCAAGACCCTCACCAGTCAACTTAAGACGATTATGACACGTTTACTGGCCAGAGCGGTAAACCGCATAAACTTCTGTTGGCTGTTTGTGTTTTTCTGATGCGATGGTGGCTGTGGTTTCTGCCACGTTTGTAATTTGATTTGTCTGCCATGAACCAAAACTAGACTAGAACTTGAACCACATTTGCTTGAAGGCTTTAAATAATTGTTTTTCTTATTTGTATTATTTCAGTGCTGAGCAAGGGACAAGGCGAGACCTGTCGCTACCGATTTCTGGGAAAGTATGGCGGCTATTGCTGGATCGTTAGCCAGGCCACGATCGTCTACGATAAGCTGAAGCCACAGAGCGTCGTTTGCGTCAACTACGTCATAAGGTGAGTCAGTCAGATTTAATTTCTTATACTAACAATTACCAAGAGTTCGCGATAAGTCCGAATTGAGCCGGAACAATGCCGGATATTTGCTCATTACATCTCTGGGGGTATTGCCTTCGTTTTTATCTTTTAATTAAGCCGTCAACGAGGGGAAGTGAATTTCTACCATTATTTCCTACCATTATTAATCGACCGAATTTAATTTCCCCAACTCCTCCTTAAAATATTTGAAGACCTGATTCGGTTGGGTGGTGGCTGCGTGTGCTCGACATTTGCATAAAGAATTCGCGTTTTCGCCTCAGTTGGCTTCCAGTGCTTTATGTAAGATTCTCTTCCCACCGAACCGAACGAACTGTGAGTCGCATCGATTTGGTTTTCTAATCCGTCATTTATTGAATTGTCACAGAATTGAGTGGGCGGACGTTGGCCCAGATTTTCCATTTGATAACAAAGCTCCAGCAAATTAGCATCCCGCATCCTCGTGGCGACAATTTTTCGAATCGATTTCTTTCCTCAATTTCCATATTCATAATCCATTCGATATTTTGAAGCTCTCTGTAGCAGCAGCTTCGTTTCGTAAATGGAGGATTTTCCATTTTCCCTTTCTATATACAATATATTTTATTTTTATGAATGTTGCGTGAGTCCACGTGCGGGTCAACAATGAATAATAAATTAACAATGAAGTCCCATTCGCTCTCTAATGAAGAAGCACCTGCCACCCGGCCACCACCCTCCCGAATCCTGACCTCCACCCACCATTATTTTTTCAGCTCGACTGGTAAGTACTCCTCACGAATTTTTCTATTTACTTTATTTAAGCGTGTATGAGCAAATATTTGTGCATTGTTCTTCAATTTTTTTTCCCGAAATTTTACACTTGCCTGCCTTTGAAACAAATAATAAAAAAAAAGAAGTTAGACTGGGGGTGTATATGGTATGTAGTTATACATATAATTGTAAATTCGTTTTTAATTGTAGACCTTTTTGTGTGTTTAGAGCCTCGTGGGGGCTTTCATATAAATACGTTAATTTCGGTAGCTCAAGGGAATTAGCATCCGGCACACTTTTACTTTGAAACATGTACATTACACAGAGAGAAAAGATAGATATTTTATATATATCTGGTTAAAAATATTCTAGTTCATTTTTTTATGTGCATATGATGAGTGCACTGGTGCGGTTCAAATGAATGCTGACAATGTGCTTTTATTTCACACAACATGTGATTAGACTGCTCTCTTTTTGATTTCATTTCCCTTTTTATTTATTTTTGCTGATTTAATCAAATTGATTCAATTGTTAAATATTTGATTGGGTTTTTAAATAATCGATTAAAGAATAGAACTTTTATTAGGGCATTTATCAATTCGTTGCCTTTATATATTGTGGTAGCCGCCTTTGTAGTTGGCCTGGCCTAATTGAATAAAAACAATATTACACAAGCCCTATTAGAGCACAGAGAGCCAGAGACAGCCTTGTCACACTGCCAACTAGAGAGTCTCTTTGAACTTGGTTGATTTTTCCATCAACGGTAGTGTTTTTTTCTCACCTGACTTGATAACACCCTCTCCTCCCTGATAACACTGTTTTGCAATCAAAGGTGTATATTTTTTGTAAAGCAAATATTTTGATTTGATAAAAGTGATTATATGAAAATGATTTGTTATAAACTATAAGACTAGTAGTAGTTATTTTATTTAATTCTCTTGGGTTGTGGTTCTCTCCCCTAATGAGCTTGTCACTCAGTTGGCAAATGGCTCAAGGTCGCTGCTATCTTGGGAGGAGCACTGCAATCTGTTTCAGATGCGTAATTGCCGCTGCATATTTATAGATTTCTAATTTTCCCAAAAGCTCCCAAACCGAACAATAAACGTCTGTGTTAAGAATTCCCACGCCAATCCAATTAACATTGATTAGTTGATGTTTTTTTTTCTGGTTTTTTGGAGGGAATTTGCATTTTTATAGCCTGGCTTGCATAATTCCAGCCACGCGTTGCTTTTAATTACCAAATTTCTCTCCTTCTCGGAAGCTTTGCCTTTGTCTTCTATCCTGCCCTGGTATCCTGTTCTCCTCTCCTTGATTTATCGCACTTGACAGAGCCGTCGGCTGTTCGGAGCTTTCTCCCTCATCCTCGTCCTGGTTAGTCAAACTTTTTAGTCCTAATGGAATTTACACGAGTTCTTAACACTTTCCCCGAAAGTTTCCCCGGTTTTCCCCGGCTGTGTTGGGCTTAGGACGCCATTTTGTGGTGTTGGGCGACTAAAAATTAAAACAATAAATTAAGGCCCGCTAGGAGGGTGGATGGATAAAAATAATTCCTGGCCGAAATGTGTTGCATACTTTGGGGCAATAAAGCGTCTTTCATTATGATTGCCCGCCCGACCTGCCCATAAAATGAACTGGAAATCGTTGGTGGATTCTCGGACTTTAAACGTCGAGTCCAGTGAGATGAGGATGGGAATCCTTACATCCAACCCCTTCATTCCATTATTCATCGTGTGACCCTTGGCCATAGAATTCCATTTGCCGACCACAGCATAAATATTTCATATACACATGCTCTAATCGGGATTATTGACGTCTTCTCGAAAGGGTTTCCAACTCCAAAAGTTTGTCCCTTTCTCTTGAATGATTTTCCCAACTTTTCTTTTCTTTTTCCTATTTTTCTCCAGGCTTGATGTTTGCGTGGGCGTAATTTCGATTTTGATTTCTTCCGAGCGATAACTTTGGTCACCTGGCTAATTGAAAAAGTTGAGCCAGTTTCACCTTTTTTTCGAGTATTTGGCTTTGACCTTAATTGCCGTGGATCGATTTTCCACTCAATCCGCACCTGCACATCCATTCCGATCCCCAGTTTGGTGTCTCTTTAGTGGCTGGAATGGTATTTGGCAGCAACAGCCGAAGGCCCGACAGGCGTTAAATTGCCCCGCAGCCTGAAATGAGATTTATGGCCCCGCAATTACCTAAAGGCTGTTACAATGGGATTGGGATATGTGGCAAGGGGCGATAGAATGGCCAACTATTTGGCAAAGCAAACGAAAGGACCATCACTACACAGTGACAAAAAAAGGGACAGTCTAGGCAGTCTTTTTAGCCTTCTAGTATCATTCAAACTTCTAATATTTTCTTTCTCTGCAAACCCAATGAAGAATAACGTTGCTCCTTCTTAATTTTCCTCCCCCGCCCACTGATAAGGCCATGTTATCTGGTCACGTAGTCAGCACCAGTTCGCTGGGTATCCTTATTCCCTAGTCCTTATTAAAGCCGCGTTATTAATGTGGCTAAGCGATGAAGTTATTCACTCGCCTTCGATAAACCAAACTGGCCCCCAATTTATTATGCTAATGTTTCCTCTTTAGGCCTGCAATCCCAAATCCCAAACATGGCCAGAGCGGAAATGTTTGCCGACTTCCGGGACTCGCAGGACTCGACGCTCTGACGTCACAATAATTAACTGCGAACGAGGCAACACTTTAAATGGCAACACTCCTGGGATACCGATTCCAATCCCGACGGAAGGAAAATCATTTTACACACGTGTAAGCCCATCATCTTTGAGAGGCAAGGAATAGCAAGGACTTTCTCGGGTCTAGGGAATTTAATTTTGGGGTTGAGGGATGAGCTTGTCAGATGCTTGGGGCAATTGTTTGCTTATCACAGCGGCCTGGCAGCTGATTCTGTTTTGATGAAGTTGCTCTCGCTCTTTATCTTTATCTTTTATCCCTGTGACCCCATCAACGTCAACATTGCGTATACGCAACGTGTGCCGTCGCCATTATTTGTATAAATATTTTCCATCATTTCCCCCGCAGCAGCCATTCCAAGAAAATGACAAATTCATAGTCGCAGCTGAGCCCGCTGAATCAACTTGTGTTTGCATATTTATTATTTCTACCTTGATGTGAAAGAAAAGCATGCTTTGCTCATCCCTCAGAGCATTTGCCTCTCAGAGCATGTGTGCGTCGTTAAATTATGTCCTGTGCAGGAAAGGAAATTGCATTTTGATTGGCTTGTTGCTGCCGCTGATAGGACACCATCTCAAGTCCTTCTCCCACATATACAGATATATAAAGGGAGGATATATATAGGAGTTTGGATATTTGATTGCACATGAAAACGGTTTTACGCGTGGCATAAAATTTTGCGTTGGCTTTTCGGACAAACGGAACGTAAATTTTGTAAATTTGCCAGCATCAGAAAAGGATCTTCAACGTTATCGAATTGCCAAGGACACTGAGAAAAAAAGGGGCTCTAATTTATAAAGAAATTTGCCTACAAAAAGGATTATTTTTCTAAAGAATGGTTGATTGATTTTTTTGTGTCATTGTACTTGTTAGCTTTTGGCATAATTTATTAGTAGGATTTTCCTCTGAAAAGGACTCGCTTTCATCTAAATTGTAAGCCTTTTTTGATGGCCACGAGCAGTTCATAATTTGATTGGAAGCCTCTTTAAGAGCCGGCTTTAAAAGTTGATGGAGTGCTCGGAATTTAGGGCTTGTAAGGATACAAGTGGCGGGAGAAACTGGTAGATTACCATATTAACATATATCTGCGGCAAAATGCCAAGCCGAGCCAAGCCAGGACCTTGTGTGATACGCACAATAAAACCCGATAAATCCGCCCAAAATCACAAAATGTTACCAACTTGAAGACGTTTTCACACGCAAGGAGGTAGGTGACTTTTCCGAGAGGGGGTTACACGCACACTCGGCACTGCTTTCTCTCACTTTCTCTTTTTGGCCTTTGTATAAGCCTCAGAAGAGCCTGCTTCCTTCCTTCTGCTTTAATGTGGCCGTGCGTTGCATATTTGAATAAACGTCAATGTAATTGACACTTAACGGTGAAATGCGAATGGGGCGCTAAAGAGAAGCAAGGAGGAGAAGGTGGAGAAAAGAAAGATGAGCCACACTAGGCGGGGGTTCCAAATTTTTCCTCTCGGCCGGAAGTCAACGTACTCTGAACGCGTGTCTCCTTTGCTTTGTGTTTGTATTTGGTTT